GACTCACAAAACCTTCACCAGCCTCCTTCAGCACCATACACTCAGAGATGTATAAGATAGAAACCAAAGCCTGATATCAGCAATTCCTGTTGCATTTGAGTAGGTCTTGGAGCAGTCCCTGAAACGCTCTACACAGCTTCCCAGGCTCCCCAAATGACATTTCAGATGTGAAGGAATGAGATTTATAGCTGGCAGGTGTAAGAATCACCCTGACTTAGAAGCCCCATGCCCCCAGTAGCCAACCTTTTGTAACAATTTCACAGGCCTAGATTCCTGGGTCCCTGTAGAGACATGCCCAGATACAAAAGTCATCACATTCACAGAAGCCTAAGGCTATGATGTCCCAATCAGCTCATTTATGGTGTCTCCTAGCTCAGATACAATTTACCCAGCAGGGGTTATTTCTACCATAAACAATATTACCTTAAACTTAGTTGACATGTTACCTTCCTCAAGTTCTTAGGGGAACAGAGTGAGAAAGATAAATGACAGTCACATTTTCATGCAGAAACATCTGTTCCCCACTGGATCACAGGCTATATATTCTCTGTATCTCCTTTTGTGTAAACTACCGTAGAAAAATGGTAGTATGCTAAAATCTTCCCTATGTTTTTATGCACCTGTGCTTGGTATTTCTATCACATTTTGCTTTTATATTTTAATGGTATTTTTCAACTCATAAAGTTTAATGACTGTTGTATATTAATTATACCTGTTATCGATCCCAATTGATCTTTGTCCTCTTTAATGCTTTTGTGTTGATTAAACTTGCTTTGTCTGATTTCAACACTACCACCTTTAAAAAATTAATAAACTATTTTTTAGAGCAGTTTTAGGTTTACAGAAAGTTCATCAGAAAATACAGCGTTCCCACATATCCCTCCCTCACCACACAGTTGCCCTTATTATTGCCATCTTAGTGGAGTTCGATTTGTTACAATTAATGAATCAATATTGATACAGTATTATTAACTAAAATCTACAGTTTACATTAGGGTTCACTCTTTGTGTTGTACATTCTATGGATTTTAACAAACATGATGACATGTGTCCATCATTATAGTAACATACAGAAGAGTTTCACTGCCCTAAAAACCCTCTGTGTTTCCCTTATGTATCCTCCTTTCCTCCCCTCAGCCCGGTGCAACCACTGATCTTACTGTCTCCAGCTTTGCCTTTTCCAGAATGTCATATAGTACGCAGCCTTTTCAGATTGGCTTCTTCCACTTAGCAACATGCTTTTAAATTTCCTCCATGTCTTTCTGTGGCTTGATAGCTCATTACTTTTTATTGCTCCACACTAGCTTTTGTTTCTGTTTTGTTGATGTCTCATTCTACATACCTCCTATTTTTAGCTTTTATAAATCGTTTTACTTTAGGTGTAAACATTATAAAAAGTGCAGAGTGGCTACCTGCTACTGGGGGAGAGGCAGGAGATCTGAGAGCTCTCTCCTATGCTGCTGAAGGCTGAGGGCAGAGAGGAGAGTTGAGGGCAAATCCTGAGGCAATCAGACCCCAATCCCTGCTAAAGAGAAGGAATTGCTCCTGTTTTTAAGTAATTTGAGACTGTGGTAAATGAAATCTAATGAAAATAACAGCAAAGCCCAAACCCAGAACTGTAAGACACAAATGTTTGCTGTTTAAGCCATTCAGTCTATGGTATTCTGGCAGCAACACCCTGAACTGACTAGGACGATATATAATTCCATGTAGTTCTAAAACAAGCAAAATTAATCTATGGTGATAAAATCAGAACAGAGGCTGCTAGAATAGAGGGGAAATTGATTGGGAGGGATATGAAAGAACTTTCTGGAATGATGGAAATTTTCTATACTTGATAGAGGTGTGGGTTACTCAAGTATATGTATTTTTCAAGACTAATCTCCTCAAACACTTAAATCTGTGCATTTCAATGTATGTACCTCAATTTTAAAAAGATAGTGCCCACTGCTGCCTAGGCCTGGTTTATAAGTATCTGCTGGTTTGTAGGAGACAGAGGAGTAACTAAGCCAGGAGTGACTAAGCCAGTACCTAAGTTAAGTCATCCTGACTGGTGACTAGATCTTTGAAAACCATGATATTATCATGATGTAGAAACTCCAAAAACCAGTTTAAGACAGTGTTCTGGACTGGAAACCCAGGGGCTGCTTGGATGCATGTGCAGAATGGAGAAGAGTAACCATAGAAGGAGAAAAGCAGGAAAGGAAAACAAAGGACTTCAAAATGAGCCTGCAAACTAAGGTTCCAAATCACAGAAGAAATCAAATGCTAAGAGAGGCAGTCAACAAAATCAATACTCAGAGTATGAATTCATCTCAAATACAATTAATCCTTCAGAGCAAATCTAACACAGACATTAAAATAGGTATTCTAAGGATTCTCAGCAAGAGCTCTGAAGGAACATATCTATTAAAAAGTAAACAACAAAATGCTTTAAAATTATATTTATAAAAGCAGAATGGGGGCACCTGGATGGCTCAGTCAATTAAGCAGCTGACTTCGGCTCAGGTCATGATCTCAGGGTCCTGGGATTGAGTTCCACCACAGGCTCTGCACTCAGCAGGGAGTCTTCCTCTCCTTCTCCCTCTCCCTCTGCTTCTCCCCCCACTTATGATCTATCTCTCTCTCTCTCTAAGAAATAAATAAAATCTTTAAAAAAATAAAAGCCAAATGGATAAATGTGAAAAAAAGCAATTGGAAAAGTTGGAAAAGATTCATAAAGTTATTGAAATTTTAAAAAAACACAGGTCAGTTGACTATGTAGTCTAAACTAGACACAAGGAATGAATTTGTGAATTTGAAGGTGGTACTGAGAAACTCTCGCCCACGATTCAGCATATGGAGACACAGACCATGATTTTTAAAAACATGAAAAGACAGTTACAAGACATGGAGGGTAGATCAAGGAACTCCAAAGGGAGCCCCTAAAAAGCACTAGCAGATAGTAGCTGGAGAAATAATAAAATGGTTTTCCCAAGTTGAAGAAATATCTAAAATCCTCAGATCACAATGACATTCCGTGTACCAAGCTAGATAACAAAAAATAATTTCACATCTAGACAAGAGTAATGGATCTGAAGAGTATTAAAGATAAAGATAATCCCTAATCCCTTAAAAGTCATCATTAGAAAGAACAGCTTTGTGTGTGAAGGGATTTTTTGCAGGGATTATTTTGCAGGGAAACAAGACCTGACAGCAGATTCCTACCTTACCACAGTAGATGCCAAAGGACAATGGAAAAACTGTCACACTAGAATGTGACATTTGGCTAAACTGGTCTTTGAAAGCGAGGGCAGGATGAAGTTCTCGTCAGACAGAGCACAATAGAATCTACCACCAATAGATCTTCACTAAAGCAACTTTTCAAAGATTGCTTCAGCAAGAAGAAGTGTAAACCCGGAGTGGAGACATAGGATACAACTCAATAGGGAGGACAAAAATTGATAAAATTTGTCAGTAAAAGTCCACCACTGACTGTATTTTATTTTCATTTTTATTTTTTTAAAGATTTCATTTATTTAATTGACAGAGAGAGAGAGACAGCTAGAGAGGGAACACAAGCCGGGGGAATGGGAGAGGGAGAAGCAGGCTCCCCGCTGAGCAGGGAGCCCGATGCAGAGGCTCAATCCCAGGACCCTGGGATCATGACCTGAGCCGAAGGCAGACGCTTAATGACTGAACCACCCAGATGCCCCCATTGACTGTATTTTAAAGTTACTTTTTGTGTTTTAAAAAAACAAGGTGAAAGTCCTTGGGTTAGGTTTTCCTCTCTCCCTTTCAGTGTAGTTACGTCACTCATTACAAACACAATTCAGTTCATGTGTTTTTGCTTGTATTCAGTTTATTTACTTGTTTGTTTTGAGTAAGTGAAAAAATGACGTAGTTCTAAAATTCTGTAGTATTTTCTAATTCTGAAGTATTCAAAGATGTTTACTCAAAAAAGCGTCCCTCCTCCCATCTCTTCTACCCTGTTCTTATTCCTGCATCTTTTCCAATCAGCTTTCTACCCACCTGCTGTAGGTAACCACAGTCAAATGGATTTCTGGTCTATTCTTCCTATACATCTTTCTCTAAAAGTGATCAGATATACATGTATATTCTTTTTCTCCTTTCTTCTTATACAAGAAGTAGTTCCAGTGAAGTCACCTTAATCCATTAAATATGTCTCAATAGCTTTGAATCTCAGAGAGAGAAGTTTGAAATCTCAATCCTTTCCTTCTCAGAAGTCCATTGTGGGAAGGTTGTTTTATTTTTCAAATTTGCCTGCCCTGACCTCAAGAACACTCTAATGCATTGACCAGTGGGAATTTGAGGATAATACCTGGGCTTCAACCACTTACAGAGGTAAGATGTAGCCTCATGCCAGACAAAATATTATAAGTAAGATGCTACCTTCAGAATGACATGTGATGAGCTTTGATTGAGATAACGGCCTTATGGTGACCTTTCCTAAATAAACATGATTCAAAGCAATCTGATTTTTTATTGCTCAGAGAACTCTCTAGGATATAACATTCCTATTCTCTTACAGGTGGGCCCATCACTCCATATGACCAAAGAAAAATTTATTTAAATGGAGAATCTATAATCCTCTATACAAGCTCTCCTTCTCAGCCTTGTACGAGCCACAAAGTTGAGAAACTCACCTTCTATGTCTTCATCTAAGTTGAAAATGTTGAAAAAGACAGAGACAAGGGAAGACCTCTTTAGTACTCCACTGGAGACCTCCCTCAGCATGGGTTATGAGCCATTAGTCAATACTCTAGGGCTATTTTTCTTAAAAAAAAAAAAAAAAAAGACACATTTCTGCAACTTCACTATACTTTTAGTCTTGGCCTCATCTTCCCTGAGCAGTTAAATATTTCCTAGATAGTAGAAAGTAAGAATGACTCTCATCATACTTTATCTTTTAAAGGTGGAAATAGAAGCTAAGTCAATTGATCACAGAAATGAGAGGGAACATGCCGTTATATTTTAACCAGTGTGTAAAGAAGGCTCTTATGTAACCAGCCATCTGGGTCCTTCTCTTTGTTTTTCAGCAAATTGCTGTTGGGATGAAGCTTTATAGCTTTGGAGTCCTTGTAGCCATCTTCCTCTTGTGTGAGCAGCATGTCTTCGCTTTTCAGAGGTAACCCAATAGAATCTTAAATGGTGGGGGGCCGTTTTCCTCACTTGTTTGCCCCACATGGAATCTAGTCAGTGCACTAACCTGGGGGGCAAAATGTTAGAAGTTTGAAGGTCAGCTCTTTCAGAAACTTTCCATGTTGCCCTGACAAACAGTACATTTTAGTGTAATAAGGATCTCACTAGATCTAGGGTCTTTTTTTGTCTTTTCTGGCTCTACTTTTACTACTGAGAGAAACCTGGATGATATGTATATTCAGTGGCTAGGGAGATTAAGAAAATAGAAGCTTTTATAAAAATAATTATTTACACTCTAACACATCACATGACTTACTTTTTTTGTCTTCACACACAAAATATATTAACTAGGTAATTTGTATTAACCATGAATAATGTAACTATGGGTAACTATGAATATTTTCCTCTTGTACATGGAACACAGGAAGGAGAGGAAGGTAAAGGTATGAAATAGGAGGTTTAGGTTGGGCATGGGTATTCATAAGGGATATGAGAGGAAGAATAGATGTGTTAAAAAGAACGCATATATGAACATATCTGATTCTTATTTTGCTTAGTTGAGTGATTCCTTGGAGATTTTCTATTATAAACCACTTAGAAGAGTACAAATGAACTTGTGTTCTAACACATATAATATATGGCAAATAGTCCCAGGCTACATGTAAATTGTAATGTATTAAGTAGTGAACTCGTAGACTTTTAAAATTGAAATTTTTTCCTTTGGAATTATCTTTTTTTCCCCCTGTGTTTTGCTTCTGTGATTCTTCTCTTCTCCCATTATCTCCAAGACAAATGCCTCTCCCCATTTAGTAAATAGTAAAGAAAGAAAAAACATACCAGGGACAGGAAAATTCTGTCAAAAATACTTACCTTGGGGCACCTGGGTGGCTCAGTCTGTTAAGAGTCTGCCTTCGGCTCAGGTCATGATCCTGGGGTCCTGGGAACGGTGCCCTGTGTGGAGGTTCCTGCTCAGCGGGGAGCCAGCTTCTTCGTCTCCCTCTGCTCCTGCCTCCCCTCCCCTCTTTGTGCTCTCTCTCTCAAATAAATAAATAAAATCTGTAAAAAAAAATACTGTTCTGAGTCAGAAAGAACCATGGGACAGCATTTAAGAAAACAGCTTGACTTGAGAGCCTGACGCTGTGTTTATACATCATCACTGATTCTTTTTTGTTCAATATGATTGTCAAGTGTCATGCAACGAAGTCCATCACCAAATAATGATTGTTACTGATTCGACATGGCAGTCAAATTGCTGGAATAATTGGTGACTTATATCTCTATGCGTTATCAATAAATAAGATGACTATAATTTCTAAGGTCCTTGCCAGTTCTAATATCCCATAACTTGGTGATTGGCTTTAATTAAAGGTGGGGGAGAGGGAAAGAGGAAAACTGGTATGAGCATGTCAGGTGGGTACTGTAGACAGCGGCAGTTATCATCCACCGGGAGGGGAAAAGGAAGGGACACATGGCTGTATAGTACTTGTGTTGTCTCATGCACTGGGCCCGGCGCTTAGAAATGTTATCTCAGGGCGCCTGGGTGGCTCAGTTGGTTAAGCGACTGCCTTCGGCTCAGGTCATGATCCTGGAGTCCCGGGATCGAGTCCCGCATCGGGCTCCCTGCTCAGCAGGGAGTCTGCTTCTCCCTCTGACCCTCCCCCTCTCATGCTCTCTGTCTCTCTCATTCTCTCTGTCTCAAATAAATAAATAAAATCTTTAAAAAAAAAAAAAAAAAAAAAAAAGAAATGTTATCTCATTAAATGCCTGCAATCCCACACCCTGGGAATCTTGATGGCGACACCTTACAGAGAAGGAAACTGAGCCCTAGGAAGGATAAATCATTTGCCCCAAATCAAACAATAAGTGTAGAGTTTGGATTCGAACCCATGTTCGCCTCATTTCAACTCATTTCACTGAATAGCATTGCCACTAAAAATCTAGAAATTAGGAAGAAAGCTAATCTGATGGAGGTCAGATTTAGAAACAGTGAGCCTGCAGAGAAGACAGGTGGTCCAGAATGCAGCCTGGGAGAGGGATGGGCTGGAAGTTCAGCGTCAGGGTCCTCACCTGCAGTGGGTCTTTGGTGGCGTGGGGCCTGCCCCTTGGCAGCCGGCGGCCGCAGAGCATGGCGGCTCACGCACGTGCCACCGCCTGGATCATATCATGAACTGAACCCCTAGATAAGACAATCATTAGTAAGGTACTTCCAAAGCTTTACCATGTCGCTTCAAAATGAGAAAGCATATAACAGTTTAGTGGAACTAAATATTACACAAATAAAGGACTTATGCAAAAAAATAGCAAAGAAATGAATGAGGATATTCCTTCAGGCACGGCTTTTCTTACTATTTCTTGCTTCAGCATATACTTTGGAGTCTGATCGATATCTATGCTTGAAGAGAGGAATAAGAATATGACTATATTTTAACCAATCACATGGTATTGAAAATATTGTCCGTGTGTATTGAGGAAGGGCGAGCTGCAGCTTTGTGGGCAGATACGTATCTGATTCCTCTCTCCCATCCCTCCACCAGAAAGAACATTCCAAACTCTTCTTTCTGTGAGTAAAAATATATATATATTTTTTTTTCCCAACTGTTTCTGAGCTCTGCTTTTCCAGGAAGAGCCTATTACTGAAGCTAAAACAGAAATCTAATTTCATTCAGGGCGAGAGACTTTGATGAATTATTTCTGGGGGCAAGAATACAACCCCTTCTAAAAAGAGCTTACAGTCTGGCTTTTCCCTAAAGCTGTTCTCTGTTATTGTTTTCTTGTCATGATCATTTTCCTAATAACACTTTGTATTCAGGCAATCTCTTACTGGCTGATTTGTAGGTGCATTTTGATACATCTCATCAGCGAAATGCCCCGGAATGAGAACGAGAAAAGTTTTAAAGGCATTAATACCATATGCCAAAGAGAAAAGCAGCCAAACAAACAAACAAAAACCAAAGCATGTCTCCGAGGTCACGTGCTGTTAAAGGCCAAACACCGTAAAGGGCAAAAATAAAATCCTAGCAAGAACCTTGTAAACAGAGACATTAAATGTATTGTGCTCTGATGACCTAGGAGCAGCCTGTCAGCGGAGGCGATTTATTCGAAACAGGGAAGGCGGGGGGGAAGTACAAAGGGAAGAAGGAAAAAGAATTGGGAGAGTGGAGAATGGTTGAGGAGAGAGGGCTTCTGAATTATTAACAGACCACAGGACTTGTTCCTTCTGTCAACTTCATACACGATCTGCCACCTGGAGACCAGTTTATTCTCTTTCCCTTAGCTCCCCCTGATATATTATTTTCATCTTAAAGAACAGGGGACTGGCGGCCTTAAAATACTGTAATGCATAAAACAAAATTGCAGCCTCGAGCGCTGTTCCATTGTTCAGAGGCATCTCACCAGCTTTTCAAATTCAAAAATAATCTTTCAGAACTACAGCAAATGTGAACCTTCTTCTGTAAACCATAGCAGGGGACAGAGCTTGATGAGAATAATCATATTCTTAGAGGGGAAGCAACAGAGGAAATGCTGTCAAGTATTAAAATCTTGGGATCTGGAGATAGCCCCAGAGCTGTGACTTACTAGTTATGCAGCCTTGGACAATTTACTTGTCCTCTTGGAAATTCAGTTTATTTTTTGTGTAACATGACCTGTTATTTCACTGTGCTTACACTTTTCACTCGATATTTGGTGCAAGACTATTTTTTTTTTAAATCTTCAATTGGCTATCGGTTAAATCCTCTAACTGTATCACTTCAGAGATGCAATCAAAACATTTCTTTATTTTCTCATCTCCCTTTGCCCTATTATGTTCCATGTGGTGGAGAAATCTTTCTTTGCCCCTACATGGAAAGTGTGCAAATACTGACTTTTTAGTCCACTCTTTTTTTTTTTTTATTTTAAAGATTTTTATTTATTTATTTGACAGAGAGAGAGATAGCTAGAGCAGGAACACAAGCAGGGGGAGTGGGAGAGGGAGAAGCAGGCTTCCTGCCAAGCAGGGAGCCTGATGTGGGACTCGATCCCAGGACACTGGGATCATGACCTGAGCCGAAGGCAGACGCTTAACGACTGAGCCACCCAGGCACCCTTTCTAGTCCACTCTTAAGTAACTGATAATTTTGGGGTCGTGTTAACATGCAAACAATCTCGATGTAGAAACTAGAATATTGGGTCCATTCAAGGTATTATTCAAATGTCAGTTTCTATAGGAAAACAACTCCTCACCCCCTCTCCATACACACCCCTGACTCTTTTTCTCATTTGCCCTTTTCTTGGGTTTTAACTTCTTAGGAATTTTTCAGATTCCTTTGCTGAGGAATTCTCCAGACCAGGGATAGATGCTTCTCTCACTAGGTGGCCATTTGTGACTCCATGTTTCACCCCTAGGAATCTTGCCTTCACCCCCACGTTCTTGCCCCTGTAGGCGGCATCTGAGTTATAACTACTTGCCCATGAAGTATTTCTTCTTTTGATTTTAATCACTGTCCAACCAACTGGAGACCAGCCACATGCATGTTTAGCTGGCTTGGGAGCAAGCCAGGCACCAGTCCCCGTGTCCCTAAACTTGAGGAAACATGTTCAGACTTTCCCATTACCCCTTGAAAGTGCCCCCTACTAGTTGGAGATGAGGGAAGTAACACCTCCAAACTTCATCCTCTTTGGGAGAAAGGGTACTGACAAGACTGCAACAACTTGCTGCAAAGAAATATTGTCACAAATCTTCTCCCTTTCTCCACTCTGACCAGCCTTCAGAGCCTCTTTCTGATGAAGTAAGGGGGCGTTGAGTCAGGAAACTGATTTTCAGAAACTATGTAAGCTCTACATAAGGTGACCTGACTGACCCTCATCCCATTTCCTAATTCTATTGTGTTGGCGCTTGGGCCAAACGGGTGGAGACAGGAAGAGTCTGGCTCACCACAGTTGGAACCTGGACACATTAATATATTTTATGGTGCAGTTTTACCCTCATCATTTTAGTCCTCCACGCTT